AATTTCATTTACTGAAATATAGTTCAAAAACAATATTACCATTAATGATAATTGCTAAAATCCCTTGAGTTACTAAGATAAATTCCTTATGTAAATTATCTCATCTATGCTCACCATCACCCTCTAAGGTAGATATTATTATCCCATCTTACAGTTACTTACTCAGCAATACACAACTACTGCCAATAATACTACTGAGTGTGTTATATATACTGTTGTATTTCATTGGAAGTTCCCCAAAATTGTTCAAGAGGGCCACTATTTTTAAATCCTGCTTGTATGAGAAAATTAAATTATCAAGGAGTTATTTAACTCGTAGTGTTACGTAGCTAGTACGTAATGGAACGCAAAGTGCTACCCAACCACAGTGATTTCAGAGCTGAACGTTTTTGATCATTTTCCTATCCTCTCAACAAATCTCACATTAATATTGCCCCTTATATGGCAGTCTCATTTGGAGTAATAGGAAGACCCCAATGTTTTCGCACTTGCAACTTTTCACTTCTATATTGTAACAACCATCTTAAAGCATACATTTTCCACTCTACCAGAAAGAGGAACTTTCTAAAGTGTAAATGTACAACATGTGGATTGGGGCTAAACATTCTGAGCTACATACATACTTGGGAATTATTGACCTAGTAATTAAACAAATGAGTAAATAAATAAAGTACTTAATTGTCCTTTTCTCTTCTTTAAGGAGAAAAGTTTCCCAAAGTCTACCCCTTTTCAGTCAAAATTTTTTAACATGCTGTATCCGTCTCCTCATAAGAGCATCCCATCTTACTGTTTAGCCTCGTCTTCCCAATCTCCCTCATATCCCTTATCCCTTTGAGGACTTACCATTCCTCAGGTCAGTGGTTAGACTCTGCTAATGAATCCCCAAATTATCTTATACTGATCTAAATTCTAGTCAAAAATTAGCACCTCATCTTTTCCCTCTGAGCAATTGTCTTTTTTAGTTTTACTCCTTCATACATTGTGTCTCTGAGATGTGCACCAAGCTAGTTCTAGCCTTTCTGCTTTTCTCCTTGCGCTTTCAATCTACAATTGAGATAAAATCTCCAACACCTTAAAAAAGAATTTTCAAAAGCCCTCACTCAGCCCTGTGGTACCTCAACAGTAACCCTTTATATCTTCAAAAAAGAAAAGAAAATGACAAATTGTTTATTTTACTACTTAACCATCAGTTCCTTTTCAAACCACTGCTATAAAAATAACCGATAATCTATTGTACTCCTTACCTCTAAAACAGTAAATTGTTTTTAGTCTTCCTCTTACTTAAACTCTCTGCAGCATTTATTGTTTTATTTTTTGAAACAATTGATTATACATATTTGTGGGGCACAAAGTTGAATATTAGTACCTATGTACAATACATGTTGATCAAATCAGGATAATTAGTATATTAATCATTATACAAAGTAATCATTCTTTGTGTCTATTAACCAATTTCTCACTGACCCTTCTCCACCTCCCCCTTTGCCACCAATAGTAACTACGGTTCTCTCCTTTTGAAAGTTCAACATATTACTGTGATCGTTCTTTCCTTACTTACTTCCTTACTTTACTCACTTACTTACTTACTTACTTACTTACTTACTTACTTACTTACTTACTATCTATTTTCTAGCTCCCACTTATGAGTGAGGACCTGCAGCGTTTCCCTTTCTGTGCCTGGCTCACTTCACTCAACATAATTTTCTCCAAGCTCATCCATGTTGCTGCGAATGGCAGAATTTCATTCTTTTTTATGGCTGAGTAGTAAATTCACTAGTCATTACCACCGACTTTACATTACTCTTCAATCCGTTGTTTCTCATATATTTCCAAATGCATCACCCTCCTCTTACAGATGCCTCAAATTGAAATTGAGTTCATTGCCTTTCTATCTTTCCTACAGTTTCGAGCTCAGTTATGGCAGCACCATCCACGTGAAGTCTAGTCAACCTCGACAGAACCTCGTCAACCTGCAATCGATCTCTCTTTCCTTGTCTTCTCACATGCGACCAGTCACAAGTTCTTCAAGCTCTCCCTCCTTAACGCCTGCTGTGTTTTCTTTCTGTTGCTCATTCTCACCACACTACCTCAGTTCACGTTCTTTTAATCTTGTGCCTCGACTAGTGATAAAACTGGGTGTCAGCTCATCTAAGTCCATGCTCCTCACTGCAGCCTGGTGGTCTTCAAAAACGTAAAACTGGTTATGTTTCTCCCTTTATAAATACCATATTGACCTCATTTTAACTACTGAGTAGAGTTAAAATACCTCAGTACGGCACGAAAGACCTTCCTTATTTTACCGGGCTTACCCCTTGCTAACCTTTCCCCCCATACATATTGCTTGTAGTTCTCTAAAAACACACTTACATGAGACCTCGACGGCTTTCCTCTCATGCGTCTCTCTGCCTGTAGTGTCCCCAGTGCCTCAAACACCCACACTCCCGACTCCATATCATGTGGAACATCTTAAAATCAACTCAACTCAATATTCGCTCCCCCTCTCCATCCTCTCTTGATCTCCTCTACGCTGTAAGGTAGAAATGACCGAGCTCTCACGTGTCCTATGCACATGCTCTCGCCATAGCACGTTATCATACTCACAGCTTATGTGAGAATTTTGAGAGACCTCGTTTCCTCGTAAACAGGGGTCATATCATGTTTGACATTATGTCCTCAGTACTTTGCAATATGTGTGGTATATTACATGAGCCCAAACATAAGGAAGTGGGAAATGTGTGTGAGACTGTTGGCTTTCGTTTTTACTTTCTATGTTTTCAATTGTTTGGCATTTTAAACATAAATATAATTGTTTTATTGAGAAAATGGAAATCTAGAAAATAAATGAATGTATATAGCTTAATTTTATTAATTTTAAAGAAAAAATAAAAATTGCCCGCCCATAATTGTGCCAGAGCATTAGGCTGAACCTGAATTCTCCATGTTGCCAAAAATGTCTCAGCGTGATTTCTGCTGTGTTATTTTTAACAGCAAAGGTACATCAGACATATTTACCTAAGATATAAGTGGACGTCTATGGTGACATTCCTCTAAATATTTGAATTGTCTCAAAAAGATGAAAGCAAGCGTTATACAGGTAGAGCAAGATAACTCTTTCCAGATGTTTGCTTCCAAGACACTACTTTGTACACTCCACTCCTACTGTTTCAATTTCCATCTTGCTCTGCTTCCCTTTCCACCCTCCAGCCTCAGCAGAACTTATTTGTACGTGCTGTTCCTGACTATGCTGATCACTAATCTTTGGGTGAGAATTCTTGGCTCCAGTCAAAGGTGAAAAATGAAGTTATGCACAAGCCACTAAAAACAACAGCCCTAAAAGCTGACTTCACAAGATTTGTTACAGGAAAACAATTTGCATCCTATTACACATATTCTGTGGCTACAGAGACTGACATCCTGACTGTTGTTATTTAGTTTTATGTCAAGGAAGCTGGACATCCCCAATGTCCCCTAACAGCCTTATTGGGTAGTTCAGTTAAAAAGAAAAAGCCATATCAGTGGGTCACAGGTGAAGGATCACTCAATAAGTGGAAAGTAAATGGAAAGGTTTAGTAGGAGAACAAAATAAAAACTAAAAGTTATTTGATAAAGGAGAAAAGGAAGAAAACAGTGGAAAATGTGTATCTAGATTTACAGAGGTGAAGAAAATCTGGATGTGGTCAGAAGAGAAAAGATATATTAAGATACAGGCACGGAATGAATATCTCTCTGACGTGGACTGACAAAAAATGTTAAGCAGAACACTTTAGGAATTCTCAAGGAAAGGAATATAAAAAGGAAACACATTTTTGGAGTGTCTATGGTATATAGTAAGTACTTTACAGAATTTATCACTCTTAGTATTCATAGCCATCATAAGGGATGTTTTCTTACTCCTATTTAATATTAGTTCAAATTAATATGAATTAATATGCATAAAGTGCTTTAGAACAATGCCAGGCACATAATAAGCACTATAAAGATGTTTACTATCATTAATATTTTACAAATGGAGAACCTAACCACAGAATACTTAAGTAACTTGTCTAAGATTGCACAGATAATTACTGGCATACCACATACTAGAACCTAGAACTAGTTTTGTATGTGTTCCCTTGTGAGGTCTTTTCACTAGAACTCAAGTCACATTTCTGCTTTATATTGCCTGGCTGGCCCAATAATAGTCTTCTCTGTATATGTGAGTTATGGAACAGAATGGAATTGAAAAAAAAAATTACTATGTCGCAGAGTGAATAATTGGAAATAAGATTATGAAATAGAACCTAAAAACAACTAAAATTAAATATTTTCATAATTTGATTTAATCTCCTCAATATTCTGAGATTAACAGAGCAAAAGAATGGCATGTAATTAAACCTTAGGCCACTACATAAGTTATTGAATCATAGAATTTCTGAGCTGAAGGGACCTTAGAAGGCATTTGCTTTAATCATCCTTCACTTCACAGATGATAAAACCAAACACTTGATGTTAACATGACTCTCCCAAGGTCTCACAACTCCAAGATGCAGAATCCTTATAACAAAATACCAGGATTAATTTGTCCATTTGGAAATCTTCCTCTAATTCCATGAGTTAAAAATTGTCAAAAAGATAGCTTTTAGAAATCGAAATTTTCAAATTAGATCACAGATGATAAATAAAATAATGCTTGATTTAGCTTCCATGGGAAGGTAGGAAGGTGAATTTCACTTTTGTACGCTATACCTACCCGGAAGAAGCAGCACACCCTCAACCTCAAGCCACTGTGCTAGCAAGAAAAACCCAGTAAAACAAACATCTGTGTATATACTGAGTTTAAATTGTCACGTGTTTGTATAGGTGACATGTAAGTTGTGGAAAGTGCACAGGTGCATGGCACTGTCAATCATGAAAACATTTCTCTCTTTCCCCCGCTTTCTATGTTCTTCCTAGAAGAGGAACACATTTTCCATGCCTTTCTCAAGGGCTCTGCTCTGTTTGGACTCGAAGAGACAGCCTACCTGTGTGCCTGGGCTCTGGCCTCTGTGTTGTGGTGGAGGCTCGGGAATGCAGGCTCATGGTGGTGTCCCAATCATCATCCAGAATGTCCCTTGTACTGCTGTACTTGGCCTGCATCGGGATTCCTGCAGGAGTGGGAGTAAGACGTGCTCAGATTGCCCCACGCCGCCTGGCTACTGTGAGACAGCTCAGGAAGCGAGACACTGAGAGGCATTGCTGCGTTCTCTCCAGGCAAGCAGCAGGGGAAGCCTCTGACTCCAGTTCCTGCCTGGAGAGGCCCAGCCCCTCTCCTGTGAGCTATGCGCTTGTCCTCTGAATGCCAAACTGGTCAGGCAGAGGGGAAATCACATGTGCTTTCTTTTTGGGCAGTCTCTGTCTGAACAGTTATTAGAAGGGCCGTCCTTCTGAGATCTCTTTTCTGTATCTGCTTGCACTCCTCCTGTGAGTACAGTATGAAGGCGGCGAGACCTCACAGTAGCATCGTGGTTCCTTCAGACTCTGAAGGACAAAAATCAGTCAGGGGGGCACATATCACTCAGTTTCTTATCCACCATACACTCACTGAGTCACTTAGATTAAGTCTCACCTCTTTGCACCTTCATGAAAAGAGAAAAGACTATAGGATCCAGCTCCTTCTTTTTCCAAGGACATAGAGTAAAGCATCATATGCATGGAATGTCAGCACAAGAGTCCTCTTGAGATCATCTAATCAATTCTACTTTTTCATTTTACAAAAAGAGAAATTGAAGCCCAGCTAGGTGAAGTGATTGAGCCAAAGTCATACAGCTGCTTAGTGACAGAGTTAGCTTTAAAAGTGCTCTCCTGTTGGCACTTCAATGATCTTTCTTCTTATAGTATCTGTACTTGATTAGACATTTTATAGCACATTGGTACTTAATAATTATGGGGAATTACTCATTTTACTGGGAGTCAGGACTTTCAGAGCTATTACTAACCACCATGTAGCTTTGGAAGACCAATTAACCTTTTGTGAAGTAAAAAGAGGCATGAACACTCTTTCATAAGGGCCTTAATCCCATTCACAAGGGAGGATCCACCTCTGAAACGCCAGTCTCTCAACACTACCATGCTGGAACAACTGAATTTTGGAGGGAGCACATTCAAATCATAGCAAGGTGGTTATTCCTAACCACCTTGTGGCTTTGGAAAAGCAAATAACAATTTGTGCTTAAAATTCCTAAACTGAGAAGGAAAGAGGAGATTGTTTTAGACAATGTTCAAAAATTCTTTCTGAATCAGTACTTTTCTAGATGTTGGGTGATAACTGGGCCAAATCAAGCATGATAAATATAAAGGAGTATGGAAAATGCTTGAGTTGGGGCAGCCAGACCCCATAAGGGATCTATCAGGAAGTAGACATCGCAGATTCACAAGTGTTTCAAGTTGTGTTTTGTGCATCAGATTATTCTAAATGAAAGAAACCTAAAGTGACCTTCCTCTTGCATAGTGTCTTATAAAAAGTGAGAAATCAAAACTTATTTTAGCATTGGTTGAATATTAGAGAGGAGCATCGGAGAGAAGGCAGTAAAAATTTTGAAGGTGGTGGTAAGTGAAGCACATATGAGAATGAAGCAGAAAGATACATTATTAAAAACTATGACAGCTGGGGTCAGAAAAAATGCACTTAGGAGAGGCCTCTAATTATGATTCTAATGAAATAGCAATTATTATTTCCCAAACTTCAGTTATTCACATGAATTCTTGATAAATTTTTATAAACAACCTACATTAACATTTAAACTACTTTTCCTTAAGTACTTACTTGTTCAACAACAAGAACATTTTTTGAGCATTTACTATATGGCAGGTCCTAGTCTCAGAGTCTTGGATATGTTGGCGTAAAACGAAGCTCTCGGTCCTTTTAGAGTCTATGTTCTACGGAGAAAGGCAGTGATGATAAGTAAGGAAATAGTAGAGTGTGTTAGATTATAATAAGTGTTATGGCAAATATATAGAAGGTAAGGGATACTAAGAATGTAGAAGGAGGGTTGGTAATCTTAAATGAGTTAATCAGAGTAAGCCCCATTAAGAAGGTGATAGATCAGGTAAGAATCACTCCAGTGAAGGGGACGGGAGTCACAAAGATCCTGAGGGGAAAGCAGGCCAGGTGTGGTGGGGAAACAACAGAGAAGCAGCATCCTGATGGTAACCAGAGGAGAGAAGTGGATTAGCTCAAAGAAGGAAAGACAGCCGGCGTACGGAGGGAGGGTTGACAGACAGTTACAAAGGTATTTCATTTTTTGTTTTCTTTTATTTTTACCTTGAGACATATGAGAAGTCGATGAGAGTTTCAAGCAGAGCACTGCCATGATTTGATTTAAATTTAACAGACTTACTCTGCTCTGTTTGGAAACGGACTGGAGAGGGATCAGGGTGAATGCCCAGAGCCTACTTCAGAAACTGCTGCCATAAGCAGGCCAGTGAGGATGGTGGTCCTTCAGGAGGCGAGCGCTTCCTCTAGTATGACCATTACTCATCTTGAATTTACCCAATAGTCAGCATCAACTAGCAGCTACGTTCTTTTTTCTGCCTCTTGGAAAAGTACGGATGTTTCTGGTTCATTAACGTGTGAGTTTCCACGCAGGCCACAATATAAACGTGTGTCAGTAGGGCAGGTATAGTACTCCTTGGACACTCTGGAGCAATCTAACTGGACACCATCGTTTTTGTCATGCTAGTGCCTTTACCTCCACATCATGGGTTATTATTGTTGCCTAGCCTGTCTGTTCTGTATTAGTAGAGCTTGATTTTCAGCACCCAGAATCGTTTTCCTTGATTGTCATGATTTTGTGGACTCATCCACCCCATCCTGGGAACCCAGGCGGAATCAATCAAACCAAAAACAAAATTAAAATACTCAGCATCTCTTTAAAACCCCATCCTGTGCTTTAATCAGCTACTTAAACCATTAATCATACTCCTCATACTTTCAGCCTGAATTGTCTCTGCCCGCTCTACATGTTTTGTTTTGTATTTTTCAGATAGTGACAACACAAATTTGTATATTAAAAGGCAACGGTAAAGGGCATAAAAATTCCTGTGTTCCTCTCATAGATTTCTTAAATCCTTAAGATCTCAAACTCATGATGCGACACAGAACTGTCTACTACACGTACCCCCTCCTCAGTACCAAATCTATCATCAAAATTGTGATAGCGATTGTTATACACAGGCACATAATTTGGAGGCCAAAGTTTCCTGGATAATCGTTTTTTATTGAGATGAAATTTGCGTAACATAAAATTAACCATTTTAAAGTGAACAATTAAGTGAACTTGGCACAATTCCTGTTTACATATTAATCAACATGAGAGAGCTGTAAATGCCTCCCCAATAAGATAGAAATTTTCATTGAAAATGAGAAGCCTAAGTGGGAAAGTTTAAAAGAAAATGAGACAAATCATATGAGGAAACAGTTACATTCCAATAATACCTTTTTGTAGTGATTAGTCAGAAGTTGGTAAAAATTGGAAAACAGTACATCATAAAAATAATAAAACGTACTTTGCATTACAAAACGTTAATACTTGTGCCAATGAGATTGGTTACTTTTTTATATTTCTTATCAGATTTTATTTGTTGATTGGTAGTATTTAAAAAGCAGAAAGTGGGCCGGCCCGTTGGCGCACTGGATAGTGCGCTGCTTACGAAGCGCGGCGGCGCTCCCGCCCGAGGGTTCGGATCCCACATACAGACTGGTCGCTCACTGGCTGAGCGAGGCGCGGTGGCAACACTGAGGGTTGCGATCCATTGCCGGACAAGGAAAAAGACAAAAGACAAAAAAAAAAAATCATACGTTGGTGGACATTAATAGAACTTGGCTGTACCTGCTGTATGAAAAGACATTTTCAAAGATGACTATGTAAAATCTTTTTACAAATCAGTTTTAACAAATGAACATTTGCATTCAATTGTGATAATAAACACTAACTGCAAGCCCCAAGTAAGCAAAATGTTATTACCCCAGAAAAGAATTTTTCTTCTCATTAGTAATTATGTATTTTTAAAAATTACAGTTATTACTGGATCTTGAATTCTGTCTGTGAGAGCAGTTTCCCTATAATTTCACATTATACGGAATTTTATGTCAGAAATATGGCAGAGATAGTCTCTGGGTTATTCAATTGAAGGGAAAATGTCTAAGTTGCTATTTTTTGATGATGATCATCATAATCATGGTCATATTGGTAAAAATAATAAAATAACTATGATTACAGTGAAGATTTTTTTTCCTATTTCTTCATTTAGAGATTCAGAAGTAGATTTTGCCTTCTGCTCATGTCTGATTGCTACAAGTTGAGGAACAAGTCACAGAAACACAGTGTGTACTCCAGTGACACTTTTTGAGAACAAAAACAACTCTAGTAGAACCACAAATTAAAATTCCCATGAAGCACCAAGGACTTATAGCTTATCCCAGGTAAATACCAAGTCAATGGTAGAATAAAAATTCCTGCTTAGCTGCCCTGATTTCGTGTCTACAGCTCCATTAACTAAAACATAACACTGGCCGACGTGTAGACAAACACAGAAATCACAGCTTCTTCATCCTGTTTCTCAGCTAGGATTAGTTTGCTGAGCTCTCTTAACAGGTTCAGCACTTATTTTGACCTCAAGTATCACTCTTTTCTGTTTTGTTTTCTGTTCTCCTTACTGTCTCACATGCTTCTCGCTCCTCCTGCATCGTCTGCCTTACACTGACAGCTTCTTCTCACAAATGCTGTAGGAGGACACATTACAGAGCTGGTCAAAAATGATCGACACGTGAATCCATGCACAATTGTGAGACGAGTTCTCCTGGGTAGCTGTGCTTCTGATTTGAAACCTGTTAAAATAAAAGACAGTCAGGTAATTAGAACAAACATAAGAAATACTCTCTCGACAGGATGCTGAAATAAATTGCTAAGGATATTAGCAAAAAGAGCTGTGAAGTGTCTATATTATCGGAAAAGGAATCTTGAATTTAGATGGTATTGATTCTTGGCGGTAAAAGAATAGTCTCCATTTATCGAGGCAGGAAAATGATTCATTTTTTTTTTCAAGAAATAATACCAGTTGCATAAAATTAAATAAAGCCCCTGAAGAGAAAGAAAAACCATTTAATACTCAATAGAAAGTTCTCATCTTTCAGCCTATTACCTAGATATTTACTTATTGAGTGAAGCAACAGTTTAGTGAAATTACTACTTGGTATATTTAGTGAGCAGACCAAGCAGAAGAATTAATGCTGAAAGGAATCTAAAACTAAGTGAAGAGTTACAAATGCCAAGGCCATTCAAAAGCAGGGCAAATAACCTTGCATATCTTAATGCATCGTGAAGGCATAATTATACTACAGTATAATGATGGGCAGTTATGATAATTACTGTGGGTAAATGGAAGCATGACCCTGTATTTGCTCTTCCATGTGCTGAAGAGCAGCGCTAATAAGTCAAGCTTTAAGAACATCACTGAGCCTCCATGCAAAAGATATATTGTGATGCTCTTCCTCCTGAGTGTCTATCTCTTGTTCTTCTCCCAGAGGAGTGCTAGCATTATGCTGTAGAAATGACTAAGACTAAGATCAACTACTTTAATCCAGGCCTCAGGGAGAACTCAAATCAGCATTTTTCTCCAAAAATGTTTCTTAACATCCAGATGGTTCTTTGTGTATGGACATAGCTAGATTAAGTTACTGCCACCCAGGAAACCAAGGAGTCATTTGGGCCCACACTTGTGATTACAGAAAGAATCCTCTAGTCATATGTTTAAAATAGCCAAAGAAAACTCATGACAAACAAACGCTACAGAAAAGTATATAATATGTTTTGTGGATTGTTAAGGAATCTACTGTGCTTGGGCTAGTAGAGGTAAAATAGTTAAGTGGTGCTGCGATTAAAATGTGATCACACTCAGTGGTTTGTACCATTCACACCCAATGGTGCCTCCGAGAAGCAAATGAAAAGCCACTCTGTAAACTTCTAATTAATTCTACAAACATTTTAAGATACCATGTTAAATGCACTATCAAAAATAACCAGGCTTATAACAAAACAAATGAATACAAATAAAAATAAGGGAAAAATATAATATATATAAACAGATACATATGAGTATAAGACATTGGAATTATCAGACACAGATGTTAAAACTATGTTTAGTGTATTCTAGGAGTTAAAAGGCAATATCGAGAATGTTGGAAGAAAATTAGGAATTAAAAATGGTGACAGGGTATATCTGAGAAAGAACCAAGCTGAAATTATAGAACTGAAAAATTTAATAAAAAAAATTGAAAAACTTAATGGAAGCTTTTAGCGGTACGTGAATGGGAAGACATATGAGAAGTAAATACACAGATAAAAGCAAAAAGACACAAAAGGATAAAAAATATAGGAAAAAACAAAAGTATAATAATATAAGGTGTTATAAATTGGAGTATAATGGATGTAACTGGAATCACAAAAAAAGAAAGATAGATGGGGAGAAAGTGAAATTTGAAGCAAGCATATTTTACCTTCAAACAGATGACCTCTCACAAATAACAATAAAAAGTGGAAAACAGCAGAACAATATTTTTGAATTTCTGAGAGAATAAAACCACAAGCTTCTAATCCTATACTAAATAAATATATTTTTCAGAAAAGTTGAAATGGTAATTTTAAATAAACAGAGAATTCAACTGTAATAGAGTTACCCTGAAGAAATATTGAAGAATATTCTTCAGCCTGAAGAAAAATGATTCAAAATGCAAGGTAGGAGAGACAGAAAGAAATAAGCCACAATAAAAACCATAAATACGTGGGCAAATCTAAATGAACATGCCTCCGTAAATCTGTATACATCTAGTGTTTTCAAGGGCTATGGTATTGCATCCAAGGTGCCATCAATCGTAAGGTATACCATTCATATGATCTAATACTGTGAAATAAAATTCATCCAAGATGGGGATGATACAAGATCCTGCAGAAGCTGGAAAACAAAGGGCTATTCTGATGCAGTAGTAAATGAGAAATAGAACTGCCCAATAGAGAAAACTAGGAGCCATGCATGTCTCCATCTCTCCGCCAGGTGGAATTGAGAGGAAAAAAGCTTATATCCCCTGAGAAGTTGAACCACTAGCTGCTACTCATACAGTTCGTGCACCTTAATCCATCATACCAGTGTACCCCAAAACAATCCAAGTGCAGTATTTAACTTAAAATAGCCTCTGGTTTGTGGAGCTCCTCTCCGACTGGCAGAGACAAATGGTAACCCTTCTCGACAGAGCTCAACTTCAGTCCAGGTGTACAGTGATTATACAAGGCCATCAACTGTAAGACATATACCACTTTTACATATATTCAAGTGCAGGAAAATATGTGTCAGCATTAAAATGCATAAGTATAGTAACATATAAACTGAGGAGGGAGTAAACAGAGTAAAAGAATGTTCTAGGATGTTTATATAGGTCGGGAAGAACAAAACAATGCCAGTTAATGTCAGACTTTTATGAGTGAAGAATACGTGTTGTGATCTCTTGAGTAACTATTAAAAGATTAATAAAACAGTAAACTCCAAATTAATAGAAGAAAATATTGAAAAGTAAAAAGTATTGATTTAATTCAAAAGTTAGAATGCAAGAAAAAAAAACATTGAATGGGAAGACATAGCAATTCTAAATCTATATATTCCTATATCATATTGAATAAATATGGCTTCAACATATCAAATAAAATGTGAACAGAACTACAAGTGGAATCACAGTGGAATATTTTAATACTATTCTCTTAGTATAGGAAGTACATGAAAATCAGAACTGCAATCACAAGAAGTACATTCTCTGATCACAGTGGAACTGATCCTGAAACCTAAAACAAAGGGATAACTAAAGAAACACTGTGTTTGTAAATTAAGAAATACATTTTTAAATAACTCACAAAACAACTCACAATGGAAATCAGAAAGTATTTTGAACTGAATAAGAATGAAAATACATTAAATTATAGCCTTACATGCACATACTTGAGAAAAAGAAAGGCTGAAATTCCTGAGTCAAGCATCCAATACAAGAAGTTAGAGACAGAAAAGCCACTTTAACACAAAGAAATTGAATGGAAGGAAGTAGTAAAGATGAAAATGAAAATTAAAAGAAATAGTAAAACCAGAGAGTCAACAAAGTCAAAAGTTGTTTTCCTTAAAAGACTAAATTGAACAATACGCCTACTGAGACTGATGAAAAAACAAGGAGAGAAACACACATACACACCAATAATAGGAACCTAAAAGGGGGATGTAATTTTGCATTCTGCAGATATTAAAAAGAAAACGAATAACAATTGCAATGAGAAAGGCTTCAAAATACAAGAAAGAATATTCGTGTAAATGTAAAATGTGTTTAGAATAACTATAAAACGTGAGACATGGTTGCTTTTTAACTGGATAATAGTATGTGCCACACGTTAACTATGTGCAAGACACTGTGCCGAGTGACTTTACTCTCATACCCTTTGTCTCAAAACTCTAAGAGGCAGGTACACTTTCTATTCTCATTTCTGTGTAAGGAAAGTGGGAATTAGAGAAGTAAAGTGACTTGTTCATTGTCACATAATCAGCGAGTGGGTTAATCACAACCTCAAGCTGGGGCCTGACTTTAGAGCCCATGCTCTGAACCACAGTGACAGTGAGTGACTGCTCCTTGAACGGACGACTTCAGATGGATGCTGTAGATGCCCTCCTGCAAAGAAAGCCAAGGAAACGCCTGTGTTGACAGCCCCGAGGGCCTCTCCACTCCTGACTCTAAAGTCCTCCTCCAGCCTCTTCTTTTTCCCTAGCTCACTCTCTCTCCCCCTCACCGTGCATCTTTCTCTCTTTCTCATATATGGCCAGCAAATCAGGTTCCTAACTGCTCAACATGCTTTTTTCTCTCTGAGAAAGAGGGTGAAGCTTTGTCTCTCTAGATACTCACAACTTAGAAGAGACTGTTGATCCATCCTCCCAGAGCCATGGTCCTTCAGTCTGAGGGTGAGAAAGCCCTATCCAAAATGAATTATCTGGTTGGGAAGACACTTGCCTTCCTATAAATTCCTGTGGTGAGACAGAAATACAATCACGTGTGGCAGGGAGGGGGCGGGGAGGGGGCGGGGGTGGAGAGAGAGACTATTACTACAGACATGGAGAAAATCCAACTGATTGAATCACTTTGGTAAAGGATGTGTAAGCTAATGACAACCTACAAAGAGCTGCCAATTCTTGAGTGTCATTGAATGTCTCACAGACATATTTCATTTCTCTGGATTCACTGTCATTTATCTTTCCAGTAAAGAACAAATTCACGGGCTGGCCCGGTGGCCCACTGGAGAGTGCGCCGCTTGGCAGCGCGGCAGCGCTCCCACCGAGGGTTCGGATCCCATGTGGAGACCGGTTCCCGCTCACTGGCTGAGCATGGTGTGGGCGCAACACCGAGGGTTGCGATCCCGTTACCGGTCAGTAAAAAAAACAAAAAAAAGGAAAAAAAAAAAAAAAAGAGCAAATTCACGATGTCCACATTGTACTGCGTCAACCCTCGGTGTTGCGCCCACACCATGCTCAGCCAGTGAGCGGGAACCGGTCTCCACATGGGATCCGAACCCTCGGTGGGAGCGCTGCCGCGCTGCCAAGCGGCTGAGGGTGAGAAAGCCCTATCCAAAATGAATTATCTGGTTGGGAAGACACTTGCATCCCGTTACCGGTCAGTAAAAAAGACAAAAAAAAGGAAAAAAAAAAAAAAAAAGAGCAAATTCACGATGTCCACATTGTACTGCGTCCATCCAACTCTACCTGACAAAATCTAAGGATGCCAGGCCCCCAAGGCAATTTTCATGGATTATAGGCCACTATTTTCTCCTGAAAATAAAAATGTATATTAATACTACCTTTGTCAGGAAATGCTTCTCTGAGTTGATGACAACTTAATAATAATTTAGTTCTACTGAATGTCTTCTGAATAAGTATTCTAGAGTTCAATGAAGACATTTGAATTGTTGACAAGCACAGGACAACCTACTGTTGATTACGGGCTGCTCTAGAAGTCAGACAGACTTCTATACCAATTTTCATCCTTTGCCATATATCTAATTTAATTTGCTTTAATGTGAACTACAACTATTGGGTAAGATATTACAGAAACAAAGAGTACAAGTAATAAAAGTAGATGTAGCAGTTTCGGATTAGTTTAGATTTACAGTGTAGAATGTTTCCTGACTATTAATCTTTTCTCATATTTCATCTGAGTTCTACATTTTATTCTATTGTAAGTCCCATTTTTTCTGTAACATTTATGTCAACAAGAATCTCTCTAAACTCCAATAGCATTAGTTGCAAATACATATGTTTGACTTTTAACAGCTGCTGAGTTACTTCTTTTTTCTTAGTAAGTTATATGAACCCTGAAACAGCAAGTTGACTTTTTTTTTTTTTTTTTTCCTTTTTGTCTTTTTCCGTGTCCGGCAACGGATCGCAACCCTCAGTGTTGCGCCTGTACCGGAGCGGGACCGGCATCGGGATCGCAACCCTCGGCGTTGCTCCCGTGCCTCGCTCAGCCAGTGAGCGGGAACCGGTCTGTATGTGGGATCCGAACCCTCGGCGGGAGCACCACTGCGCTTCCCAAGCGGCGCACTATAGCAGTACGCCACCGGGCCGGCCCAGCAAGTTGACTTTTTAAGCCTCTTTGCATTCTCCAGTATCTTGCAAAGGGTAAATAATTTATAAATGAATATTATCATTGCTACTATTTTTCTTGATAATCATAATGATGAGAGAGAATTTTCTATTTTACTCAACCAAATTTAAAAATTGAAATACAAACCCACAAAACCGAGTAGTGGCATGATTATTATAGTCATGCAAATATGAAGCATTTTTTAAATAATTTGTTTTAAAGTAGAACATGGTTATTTCTAAAATTAATTTATTGAAAATAAGAACATGTATACTTTACATGCTTAATGAATACTGTTATTACAATTATGGAGAACATTAAAAATGACTTTCTCTTAGGGAAAACTGTCAAATTGTCCTTACCTGAAATCTCCCTCTATTTTCCTGCACAATATAGACTACAAATAATTATAATTGATGCTATGCTTACCAATTCTTTCAAGCTGTCTATCTTCAGGAGATTAGAGCCCAGCTGAGAGCATCGTCTTTTGCTACTATTCCAGGAATCTAGTGATGTGCTAAATAGATAACAGCTCTTCTCGTGTGTGATCCAATTAGGGGGACAAGGGCTAGAAAGAACTCCTGGAAATAAAAAAAAAAATAAGTACCATGAGGTTGATAGCATACTAATTCACTCTTTTACTACATTCACCATCCACCTTAAGGACACAACAAATAATCAATGAGTTGCCCTTCATATATTTTATTTTCAATTCAAACTATAGAGAGATGATTTTAGAGAAAAGAATACATTAAAATCTTTCTATTCATTGAAAATTAAAAAATGAATTGGGTAACTTTAAACAGTGTTCCAGACAGCCAGTGTTCTTTCTTTTTTGACTTGTCTTTCATTCCTCCAAATTCAGCCCAGAACTCCCTTTCTCCATGATAACTCCCTAAGATAAATTCACTCAAAATCAATCATTGAGGGACACAGTAATTTCATATTATTTATTTTACGGTGGGGTCTGTTTCAGAATGTGAATTTCAAAATGAGAAATATAAGGGCAGTTATCCACATTACAGAGCGTCTCTGTCATATATTATTAGCTACTTCATAAAAATAGTGAGAAGATGTGGGTCCAGAGATGGAAAATTGAAGCAAAAATACTGTCATAGTCAATTATGATGCAATTAGAAGTAATGGCAAGAGTATATAAAATTGTAATGAAACCCATGAAATCGTATGATTAATGACAAATTTAACCAGAGTTTTCAGGAATATATATATACCTTAGGTCTAGCACTTTTGTGTGTTTTTAATTTAGCTTCTTAATTCTTGGCAACATTTTCCCTTCATTTTCTTTTCCTGTCATTTTTTTCTTTCTAATGTCCTATTTCTTATTTTAACTATATCACTTTAAAAATGTCAATTCCATAAGGGAAGAGAACACCTTTCTTTCCTTTGTATCAAATTATATGATCTTCTGCAGGTCTAAGCACACAGCTAGTGATAAATCGGTTACTTATTTAAAAAAAGAATTAAGTCCAACTTAGTTTCAGCCAAGTGGATGGCATGTTTATAATATCACTTTATTGAATATATGGCAGGGACACATTATACTAAAATAACAGTGATAAGTATGCTTGTCTTAAATACACAATTACATTAGACCTAAGCATACTTTCTTCACCCCCCGTCCCAGGCCTTAGCACCAAGAATTAACCCTTTTGAATTAATGATTCTATTAAGCCTTTAACTCTGCCCTTGCCTGTGGTATTGAGAGCCTTGGTAGGAGCCACAATCTCTTCTAGAGATGATTGTGTGGGTTGACTCTGGTTCTTTTTATTTCTTGATGGAAAGTTTTCATTCTTCAATGGGTTGTTCCCTGAATTGGATCTCCAAATAGCTTCATAAACCAAGAGCAATAATAGTGACAGAAAAAAAAGAGTCATTTTGCTAGCTTTAAAAATTAAAATCCCCAAACCCATATGTTATTGAAATATAAAGGGATACATTCGTGAGTAATGATAAATACATGATGCATTGCTGATGAAGAGCTAGAGATGATAGGTAGATAATGCATAGATAAATAGACAGATTGATACATAAAAGAGGTGGAAAGAAGTAACTTCAATGAAGGAAATGTAGTGGTAAAGGGAAAAAGAAGCAGGTAAAGAAGAGAGAGAGTGAGAAAGGCAGCAGGAGGCAAATGGCATAGAGTCAGCTGGAGCCATGATAGGTTTGAAATAGCAATAATTCTTCCATTATTTAAAAAATGAAATGTCTTTGAGGACCTACCCAGTACCTATAACATGGAATGTACTTGATAAAAATTTTGACTTATTAAAGGAACGTCATGAAGACGCTCTGAAAGCACAATATTACTTTATTGACAACAGAAGGCATGAGATATAACATCTAAGAAAAGGTTTTATTTATCACAAAATATCTACTTAGTACTTAGTAAATGCCTCAGGAAATTCTTGGTATATTCAAAGGAGTTTATATTAAATATCAGATATAAAACAATTTCTTTAAATCATGAGACTCATAAAAATAACTAATAGTCCCTTTAGTGAATTTATTTTGTTAGGAAGATTGGACCATATTGTCCTTCCTTCTGCTCCACAGGTTTCCTTCCATTAATTTATCCTTCAAATTTTACAGCTTTGAAACCAGTTATTCAAGGAAGAGAGTAGAGCATGCAGTTAAGACTATGAGTTTTTTAGATGATCGCCTAAATTTCTAATCATGATCCCACTACTAACTAGCTTAGGTCCCTTATGAGTAAAATAGGGATTAATAGCACCAATTCAATAGAGTTAATGTACAAATTAAATGATATTATGCATGTGAAGCCCTTAAAAGAGCATCTGGCACATGCTATCGGTTGCTTCTGTTAGTCTCCCCCACAAATACTCACTCTTGGTACCCAGGACCACAGCTATCACCAGGATCACCAAGCACAAGACGCCCAAAATCACAGCAATGAGACGCCAAGGAAAAGTAGCACAAGTTCCTGAGGGTCCAGAGGGAGCAGAAAATGAACAAAGAGGATGATGGGTTATGGACACTTTAATTCTCCAGTTCATCAAAATCTGGAAAATTCTAAAGTGAGTCATTGATCACCAGTGTCTAGACAACCTAGTCGTCCAGGCTGAGACTGAGTTTTTCTCCACCTTTAGAATGAATACCTCTTCTTCAGTTGCTGGGACTGTAATTTCAGTACACTGCCTTGGTATCTGTACACTCCTAATTTCAGTTCCTTATTAACGCCTATTAATAAGCTCTTGAAACTACTAGGATCTCTGAACTCCACTCATTCTGAGAACTTAATGTAGGGGAAATAGCACTGATTACTAAGGAAAACCTTCCTTTTTTCATTTATTTGTGCATGATGTAAGTATGGCAAATTACTTCCTCTGTTTTTTAAATTTGTGTGTGTGTATGTGTCTGTGTGCGTGTGCATGTGCGTGTGCGTGCGTGTGTGTGTGTGTGTGTGTGTGTGTGTGAAATTAGGGTGATAGTACCTCAAAGGATTATTGTGGGAATTAAAAGAGCTAACACATGTAATAAAAGCACCTAGCTTAGAGACTGCTGGCACATTGTAGGCTTGTGGTTACAAGACCCTGCTTGTCCACACACACACATAAACACATGCCTCTCCACCTCTTGCCTCATCCAGTTTTTCCACTCTTCCCCTACAGGTTACCCAAGAAAAGAATTGCATAAGTGGAAAGAGGAAAATAATTGTGCAATGTGAATAACCAGAAAGCAGAAGAGAGCAAATGCTGGTGTTAAACCCCGTGATTCATCTCTCTCTCGAAGATAGCAGGGAAGTGATTTTTGTATTAACATTACCACACCACGAACATATCTCTGCTTTTCACTGAGAATAAACAGTAAGAGCATTTCGTAGAAGGGACAAATAAAAGAATCATTGAGGAGACTAAATCACCCATTCTATGAAGAAAGACATTCTTTAATGCCCTTCTCCATATTTTATTTCTTTTACATTTTAAGACTCATGCCTCACTAATGGAATCTTTCTGTCTAAAATATGTTTTTCTTCACCAGAATACCAAGAATGCCTTTTTGTTTAAAAAAATGCAAATCAATCTCTTACCACAAAAAAGCATATCACGCTCAGGATTCTAAACCCTATGACTTGTTTGGCCTTTATTACAAAATTAGAAAGTTGCTGGGGTTTTTTAGTTTTTCTTTCTTTCTTTCTTTTCTTTCTTTCTTCCTTCCTTCCTTCCTTCCTTCCTTCCTTCCTTCCTTCCTTCCTTCCTTCCTTCCTTCCTTCCTTCCTTCCTTCCTTCCTTCCTTCTTTCTTTCTTTCTTTCTTTTTGTCACCTGTCATCCATCTTTTCACCCTTCTCTTTCTTTCTTTTCTCCTTGTTCATATCACTTCTATAAGTTTCCTTGACATTCATCTTACAATCTACTCCTTCCTGTCAAACAAGCAACAAGTCACTCCTATAGAAATTCCTTTATCTTTGTATGTCATCACACTTATTACCAATCCCTCATGGAAGAAGTGTTTCTTTCTATAAAACAGAGAAATTGTATTTTCTGTTATCATACATAATTAATTTAAATGCTAATAATTAGTCACTGAATAGTTTCCATGAAAAAAAAGCCTTAGTGCACATTTAAATTATCTTCATTAACTTCTGGAAACATTAAAAATATATCAATAAAGGCTTAACAAATCACAAGTTTCTCAGATTTTTTTCACTTAAGTGTTTTTTTTTTTTGATGAGAATGAGAGTGCTGAATGCAGAAAGAAAGAAAAAAAAATACCTTTCTTTGAGCCCACAGGTCTCCTGGAATTGAAGTCCAGTTGAGTGTATCCATCTTCATCCAATTGTTCTAAGTCAGAACGATACGCCATTGCTCTCTGGAGTCCCTGAGTAGCCACAGCATTGGAGAGCTCTCTCCGCTCTCCTCCTGAGGTGACTGCCTGTGGACAGAAGAGGATCTATGAGTCAAATCATGTGGGATGGGCATTTACTGAAGTTTAACAAGTCGAGCTTAAGTAGTCCAACCAGATACCCAAAAGCAGGAAATAAAAACTACGCTGTGGTAATTTCCCATTTGTACCTTTAGATCCTGTTTCTGAGACAACTGACTCTTAGGAAAGGTAAAAGACAGCACAATAGATGGGTGTTTGTTTCAGGCCAAATAAAAGAAAAAAGCATAGATTAGTGTCTTATGATGCCTTCCCTGTTCTCACAGCTTAATTTGACATCATTAATTGACTTGGCCTATGCAAACTGTTAAACAGTTTAGGTACCTTGAGTTCACCATCACTTTGTAATAATTATACATTCATGTGTTTATTCATGTACTTGTTCAACATTGGTTGAATGCCCACCTTTCCAATTGGCAGGAGCTGGGATACAAGGAAAAATGATACCTGTGAAGGAAGCTCACTGCCTAATAGAGGAAACCTATACATAGGAGTATGAAAAATGCCAAATGGAGGTTCACTTATAACAAGAGAGAAAACAAATGTCTTTGGGATTCATCAGAGATTAATAAAGCCAAGTAGTTGTTTTGTTGAACAGGTACAGAGCTAGGTGCTGTACACTGCAGGTATTTTCTCATTCAGTCTCAGTTTTCCTAGTCTATGTGGTAGGTATTATTATTCCTATTTTTTAGATGAAGAAAATGACACTTAGAAAATTTAATTCCTTAATCAGGTTTAAGAACTAATTAAGAAATTGGAGCAAGGAATTGAACCAAAGTCTACTCTTGCTGCAAAACTCAATGATCATTTCTGCTTTGCTATGCTGCCTCTTTTCTCATCCCACACACTCAAATTGCAAGTAACAACTTACAGAGGGTTCTGGGACTAAAGTAAATGTTTGATTTTTTTCTCTCTTTCAATTTTCAGAGTAGTGATAAATCAATGAGATCATGGAAAACACTCATCATTGCTGGAAACTAAAGGGGAGCTCAATCCATTTATCCAACTTCGAAGCAAGCAAAATACAGACTATTGTCAAAGATCAACAAAGCTGGACATTAGTTAAAATGCTGAGAATGGATTTCATCCAGTTACAATTGCAATAGGAAAAAGGATCCTGCATGAATTGAACTCAACTTCTCCAAAGCAAAGGACTGAAAAAAGACTTTTTGAAGGCTGGGAAGGAAAAGCACTGAGTGGCGTTAAGGGGGATTGGTCAGTGTGACAGGCCATCTGGATTGTTTCACTGACACTTTTCCAGAGGAGAAGCAAACTTCTCCTGTCCTTATGGCAGGAGGCAGTGGTGTAAGTTGAAGCAAAGTGCCCAGCTAAGTTGACCCATCTCCTCCCTCACAGACTGGGAGAGCAAGCAAGAGTTGTCTGCATTTCCACGAAACTGCTCTCAACATCCTTGAGAAGGCAGCTCTGTGTGGTAGGTTTACATTTCAACAGGCTCAGAAAGAATTTAACATTGCAAATTCTCTAAAGAAACCTCTCCAAGAGGGCATTCAGGAGCCTGTTAGCAAGCTTGGACAGAACAAAACATAAATTTTCCTAGCAGCATTAAGCTTCCTCAGGCAGGCATTTTAAGCAGGGCTGGGGTCATCCTGTGGACACAGCCTTAAACTGATAGAATTAGTCCAGTCAGGGTTTGTTCCATGCCAGGCTTCTGCAGTGCTCACTGCCTAACACGTACCAAAATGGAAGAGAGCTCAATGGAGAGTTAATAGATGAGTTTTTTTCCCCTTACCAGGTCTGCTACAAAAGTTTTACTGACTTTTTGTAGACATGTTGCAAATTTGTAGTATAGATCTAATCTCAACATTTGTCAGTCTTCCGGCTCTTTAATGCAGTCCTTGGAAAGCAGGGTGATGAGGTTCAGGACATGCTACCCCAAAATATGGCACCTTGGCTTTTGACGAAAGAGCAGAAGCAGGATGGTCACTCTAACCATTCCCGGGTCCTTCTCCCCTGAAGCAGCTCCTAAGACCCTCATTGGATAGGTAACCTCCCAGTACCCAGAGGAAAGGAAAATCATTGTCTCTGAAGATACAGAGACACAGAAACGAATCCGAACCAGTAGGTCTTGCTAAGTTCCCCCCTTTGTCCAATGCAGGAGTGGGAAGTATGTCTGAAAACACTATTATTTTATTTTCATTTTTGAAAGGTATTTTTACCAGGTATAGAAAACTAGGTTAATATCTTGTCCTCACCCATCGCAAGGTGCATAGCTCAGACCCCTATAACAAGAGAAAAGCATATAAATTTTACATGACATGACAATCTTCTAAGATGAAGACCCAAAGACCCAGGGAAAACTGTGTTTTTATGGACAGTCATGCAGAAGTATCATTGGAGGATAAAAATTGTGATCTAAAGGTAACAAACTGGAGGAAACGCAGCAAGTCCTTATTTGTTCAGATTCGTTTCTGTGTCTCTGTGTGACATTCCTTTCTTCTGGGTATAGGGCAGCACACCTGTGGCATGAGGGTCTTCAGGGGACAAGGGAGAGAGAAGGACAGAGAGGGAGCTTCCTAGAGTTTATGACATGCTCCAGCAGAGAAAGAGGTGAGGGAAATTTCACTTCCTATGAGCTGCTCCATGAAAGAGGGGGCGAGCGAGGGTTAGAGACACCTTCCTGCTGCTCTGGGTTTCTCAATTTCCTTTAGCTTAAAATACTCAGTACGCCAAGGTGCCTGCCATATTTCGAGGTGTCGTGTTCTGAGTCCTGACAACAATCACCCTTCTCCATGATGTCCACTCTTCGTCATACTTAAACATAAAAATACACAGGTTTCCCAGTTTCTTCAGGTCTTTATTTCCTTATAAAGGCTCCTGTGTCACATAAAACCACATTAAATACATTTGTATGTTTTTATCTTGTAAATCTGTCTTTTGTTATAGGTGCCCCAAGCCATGAACCTAGTGATGGGGTGAGGAAAGGAAATCTTTCCTCCCCTACAAGGGATCCCCTGGTGTTTTTCACAGAGTGAATGAACTGACTCAGGGAAGGAAGACCAGCCTACTGAACAGCAATGAGAAGCAGCTTGCAGGTGGGAGTGAGAAGCTGCCTTCTTACTATTCAGTCAGACCCCTCATGGGAGCATCTGTCCTGCTGTAATCACTTTTATTTTCTATGACAATCTTCCCCTATTTAATCACAGTCCTACAAAAATAATTGGCCCTCTAAGTTGTCAAAGAAATTTTTCACTGAAACTTTAGTCTTTTCTTTTTTTCTCCTTTTTTCATCTTTTTGTCTAGAGTTAAACAAATTAATTATACAAATCATTGACAAACTAGAAAAAAACAAACAAAACCCGCAGCACTTCAAAGCAGTGGGAAGGAGAGTCTGTGTATTCAGGGAAAAACATCCCTCTTAAACACTAATGCAAGAAACATGTAAAAAACAGACAAACCTACCCCCCATATATATATATATATATGTAATTTATATTCTCAGTGAAATTTGATGAAATATTGCATCAATAAAACAAAGTGATCTTCCAAGAAAAATAAGCAATTTGAGAAAAGAGTTCTCAAAAGTGAAAACATATTTTATTAACTAAAAATACAATCAATTGAACCAAAATTCAGATTGAGTATTGCATTGTTAAAATAACTGAAAGAACTGCACTCAGAACAGCTGGGTCAGTCAGGTCACTACCTTACTTTCACATATAGTAAGCTGCTGATAACAGTAGTGTGTGCTCCCAGAATTAAATGCAAAAATGAATAGTCTTCCCAAATAAATATACATTTTGGTAGGTTTATGGAATGAATGTTAGATCAGGGAAACACAGGAGAACCTGAGGTATATGTCCAATGTGACTTTTTGGAAAACTCATGTAAATAAATGAATAAAGAGAAAAAAGTAAACATATAAATATAGACAGATAAACCACTATTGAATCAATTAAATAGAAAACAAGATTACTGAAAACAAACTAAACATTTGCTTAAGAAAGATTGTAGAAAAAAACAATGTTCAGTCCTCAGGAGACAGCAACATCCCAAAGTATCTTCCCGTTCATGTTTACAAATTTCAAAAAAATATATATATTTCATACATTTCATTATATTTCATATTTTATCATATACATAAAATCAAATTTTACTTTTAATTTGAGTGCTAACTTGGGTCCCTTTTCTCCCTCCCTCCTTCCCTCCCCTCCATCCTCCATCCCTCCGTTAATCTACTGAACATTTACTGTATTCTCAGAAGCTTGGATATAAAAAAAACATGAGGCCCAATCACCATCATAATTGGTTTCACACTGTATTTGTGGGAGAAAGGCACATAAAGATTACTTAAATTAGTTAAGTATCCCTTAGATTGGACAGATGCCAAAATTTACTGGGCTTTATACATGGCACTTTCCAGTGTTTAATTTTATGTAGCATGGCCAATAATAGCCCTCTTGCCTTCCCTCCCATGCCCAGCTTCCAGTTGCCAAACCCACGCTCCTCCTTTCTTTTTTGCAACTTTGCTTTTGGAGCATTTAACTGCCTCCAAACGGACTGACACCTGGCTGGTCTCCAGGGACTTTCTTAGAGGACTAGCACTCCCCAGCCAGTGCACTGACTGTCTGCTCCTCCCAGCTCCCCGCTCCAGAGCTCTGTGGTCTTCCCTTTAATATCCTGTGAAGTTTGAAATTGGGGAAGGAAACTGGAAACTATTACATACAAATTAAGCTCGAATGACATCATAAGAGTTGTAATAAGCAAAACAAGACAAGTCAAACAACAGCATGACACATTGTCCTAAAAAACTTCCACGGCAGTTCAACCCAAAGCCACACAGCATTCTGGCAATTAGTTTTAAGTGAAGCAAAAAATAATTTGACATTTCCTTTTGCTTGGGAAGTCATATTGCAGTGAGAACCTAGACTGACAGATCAAACAATAAACTGCATGCAGAAAGATGCAGAAGAAGGGTTTTAGGTCAGGGTG